CTTAAGTCAGCTGTGTTCTGGACGAGACAAAGTCACACCTTGTACGTTTCTTATTTCATCTCTTTCCCGTTTCTTAAGCTTTCAGTCACTGGCCGGTTTGTCTTCAGAACGAAGCATTATTTTTTGTTTGTGTGCATAAATGGGAAAAAGCACAACTTTAAAATTGTTTTATTTAGACTAAGGCCAGTTTTAAATTTTTGTTTTATAAAGTGCTTGTCCAGCTAAGAAGAGAGTAATGAAGCAAAATAAAGGGAAAGGAAACGAAGCACCTGGTGGCAGGTATAGTGTTAGGACAAGGTGCAGACAGTAAGTGCAGAAAACTGTCAGCACAAGATGGGAGTTTTCCTAAGAAAAGGAGATTAGACCCTTAGAGCCATAAATAACAAAATGGCCTAGATGACTTTTGGAGAGATCTTACTAAGTCGTTTTTCTTTTAAGTGTAGTCGTAGTGTGCTCCACGGTGGATGTTACTTGATTTTCAGTTGATTAGAGATGCAGATTTTAGAAAAGGTAATGAATTTAAGAAGAGGAATTATCCTGCCCATGTCCTAGATCACTGGCAGATGTTCTTTACCCTGTTTCTAGGCGTTTGGTACAGGCAGGCCTGCACACGCATGCATGCACACCACGCCGGTGTCTGGACTGGACAGTTGCGCTGCATTACTCCTGAAGCAGTTAGTTGTGTGTCGTCAGATAAGCCCCCAGAATGGTGTCTAACAGCCAAGCATGGCAGTCGCGAGCCGGCACCCGGGGCCCCAGGGGTTGGTTGATCACCACTGTGTTGCTGCTGTGGCAAGTCGTCTCGTCTATAAAATGGAAATACTGGATTAGATCTGTGTTTCTTAAACGAAGCTCCATAGTTGTCTACAGATGTGTGACTATTTGGGGTGGGGGAGGGTCAGTGTTCTCAGACATCCCTAAAATGTTAAGTTTTGTGCTCATGTTAACACACACTTGGACCAGGCTTCCCTGGATCACACCTCTGAGTGAGTGTTGCTGTGGGGTCCCAGTGCCCTCTGGGGTCTCCAGTCATGTGGCGCACAGCAGCCCCTAAGAGTGGAATGGTTGCTGCAGAATTTTTCAGCCCGGGGCGGGCAGACACCGAGCATCTACAGGCACATTCTTGGGTCCTCGAGTTTGAGAAGTGCTGGATTGGTGTTAAGTATAAATTATTTCATTATATTCATGTTTGTCTTATTCCTACCTCCATATGGAAATAACCAGCCAGCTGTTCTGTGTATGTGGTTATAGAAACAGACAGATTATAAGCTGATCTAGCACTTCTCAAAATGTTAGCCACAAAACCACAAGATGTTAATAATGATGTTTAAAAGAAAAAAAGTTCACTCAAATGCATTTCAGAAATGCTGAATTAAAGTTAAACGAGTGTTTTTATGGCAGACTTCATCAAAGCCTGTATTGTGCTAAGGGTGCACTGTGAATCTCCAAGAAGTATAGCCCACAACGTTTCCCGAAATGATGTGTTGTGGAACCCCTCTCATTTCCCAGAATCAAAAAAGTTTGGGAAACACAGATCTTGACTGTGCTAGAACCATCATGAATGTGTTCATCTATGTCTGAGCCTCTGTTACGGATTTTAAATAAAGTGAGAGAACATTATCTGATAATTCTGCTGTTAAATTGTTTTTCCAACCTAGGTAACTCAGGGAAAAAATGTGCTACGATGCCGCTAAAGACACTTCAATAATTTCTGAGATAACTTGTTATATCTGCTTTCTAAAACATTGTTCTTTAAAGAAATAGTCAACTTATGTAAACCTGGCCAGAGAACATTCCTTTGTTGTTTTTTGAAAGGCAGTAAAAATTTTTCAATCATTTTAGAAAAACTGTATATTGAAAACTAGGCAGATTATTAGAATTGCATGATTTCTAGGCGTGTTAATAATCCTCATTTACAAGCTGCCTAGTTTGCCATCAGATCCATAAATGGCATTTTTCACATTAGTGCATTTCAGGAATCAAGCAGTACATCCTGTCTGTGATACGTTTTCCAGCTTACATTGTGTATCACTAAATCCTTCTCACATGCTTTAAGTGTAGCTGTAGAAATAAGACCTGTGCCATGCATATACAGTAATTGTACCAGTTCTTACAGGCTTAGTTCCTCAAATTATGCTACATAATGGAAAGACTTTTACCTTTATGGGTTCATCTGTTAAAAGATATTTACAAAATACAATATTTAAATCCTCAGAACAGCTCTAGAGAAGCAGATTTGTTGTGCTTTGTAAGTAATGAAATTGAGTCTCAGTGCTTAAGTGATGTGCGCAGGTTAACTTAAAAGACTCACCACTAGGGGCGTCCCAGCTCTGGCTGGAGGCAGTGGACACGTGGCTCATGGCCTCACAACTCCTGTAAAGTCGACCCTGTGTTTGACCCATTTCTTTACAAAGTTGACATTGTTTGTGATCCTATTTTATGTCATTCGAAAATGTTAATGCTGGAAAGAGATGATGTAAACAGGTTGTCTAGGAAGCTAGAAGAGACAAAAATAATTGAAATTCAGAATTTAATCTGCCTGATCCGCAGTTACATGACTTTTTCCTGTGTGTCTCGTTAGCAAATCCATTTGAAGAAATGTGTTGCAAACAGTGTGAGATACACAAGTAATACTTTTGTGAATCTGACTCTGAAACAGTCATCCACTGTTTGGGCTCAAAGCAGGACAGCTGGATAATTGGGGGGAACATTAGTTGACTGAAATGTGGGATCTTATCAGTGGACTTCTCTGCAGGGAAGAGTAAGTGAAGCCATTGGATTTCTTCACATGTGGTATAAATATCAGAATCTTTATGAGTATTCTGGATGTTCTTTCATTATTTTCTCTCTTTTATTTTCTATGAAATTCTTTTTCTATATCTTTTGGGCAAATAGCACATGAATTAACGTTTTCTGGTAGGAACAAGGGTACCCTTTGCGTTTGTATGAGAAACACTGGCAGCTTCTCCCCCTGGCTAGCACCGCACGCTCTGCTGTAATGTCCCTCACACATCAGTTTCCTTCCTAAGCAGTATCTTCCCGTGTGGCCCACATGTCTTCTCAGCAGCATCACCCGTTAGCCAGGAAGGGCCCACCACCCTCAGGGTCCTCTCCTGTGGCCTCTTGGAGCACAGGCACCTGGAGTGGCAGGAGTCCTCGCAGCCCAAAGGGTCGTCTCCGCCCTTGTCTCCTGGACCTGTGGAGATTCCTAGGGCTGATACTACCAGCCTAATGTTTTTAAAAACGTCTTTCTGAAATCCTATCTTGCAGTCCTGTCTGAATCTTCTGTCTGAAAAGTTATTCCCGAGACATAGGTCACTGTGTGTGTGGGTGGGTGGACTGTGACCCAGGGGACGCCTGTGAAGAGCTGGACCCCTGCTCCTTCCCTCCCTGACAGGGTCAGGTCTGCTGCTGCCAGCTGGTAGCACAGTGGAGGCGCAACAGCATTGAGGGGGAGGGATGGTCGCCCACTTTAACACAGACACAGGCGTGCCAGCCCTGGCTTGTGACTGCATTTTAAGTGCTGCATTTGATCCTAAGATCCTGCAGTTATCCTCATTTCCCAGTATCGGTGTGGCGAGTGTCTCCTGAAGCTCGTGCCAGGTGACAGAGTGGCACTTGGTTGCTTTCCCCAGGACTTAATCTTATGCCTGAGAGGATGAAGGAGCAGTGTCTTGATTTTGTTCAGTCCCTGAATTTCCAGTTTCCCAGGGGTGCCATTCTGAGGGGTGGAGCAGGTTTTGCACACGCACGAGGGGCAGCACCTGGCCAGTGGCCTCCAGTCCTGGTTCCTGTTGCATGCTGCTGTGGAGATAGCAGCGGTGCCCTCGCGTGTCAGGAACGTCTTAGGAGCCATCTTAAGCTTTGGCATCATCCTTAACCTTGTTCGCTCAGAGGAGCCTAAGCGTGTGGTAAAATGCAGGTGAAGCCATTGTTTAAAATCCCATCTTCATAAAACATTCGTATGTATCGAGCTTTCCTGTGACAGTGACGCTGCGTAGCACTGACACGCTTTTAGGAACACACAAAAGGCGAGCCAGAAGAAAGACCCAGCAAGCGCAAGCACCGTGTCCATAGTTAGCATGTCTCAAACACGCGTGTCCCTTCTTCACGGAGAAATGTTTATCACAGTACCGCTTACAGGCGTTTGTGTTCTGTGATAGAGTATAGCCTTCTGATTTGCATCTGGTATAATTTTCAAAAATATAAATGATACACGTTATACTGTATGACCTTCAAGAAAATATTTTCTTGAAGAAAAGATTTTCTCCCTGCATCATTAAATACAATTTGATTCTTTTCCTCACCTTTTAAAATGAGTATTTTGATTTCCTGATTTCTAAAGTACGTATTTTGCAACATTTATTGAGGGCCTGTCCCATATAAACTCTTGTGCAGGTGTTGGTTAAATGACACAAATGTTCCTCTGACATTGTGAGCAGTTTGCTTTCATTTAGAAAAATGTTTATTTTATATTTTAGGAAATACAAAGTTTTCATAAAGGACCAAATGTTATTTTTTCTAAACCATGTGCTATGATGCTGTAATATCTTGATTATTAAATGTTGCTGTAGAGTAAAATGTTTGTATTGCCAGATCTTGGATTTATAAACACTCACTGTTATGTTCTGATTGGTCTCATATGTCTTTGCTGAAACTCTTGCAACAGTGGCTCAAAATGGGATGAATAGCCAGAGCAGTATGGTCACAACCTGTAACCTCCTCCCTGTTGAAAATGCTAAGGTTTAAACAATCCATAATTCAGATTTTAAAAAGGCTACAGTTTCCTTTCCTCTCTACGGCTTTGGTCACGAAGGGGCCTGGGCTCAGTAGACAGGGGTGAAGAAACCTGGTAAAACATGCCCTCCTTTAGCCTGGATGAACATTTTTAAATGCATAGTTGATAGAACTTAATATTTAAGTGATGTTGTATAGTCATTTTTCTTCATTCTGCCATGGTGTTCGCCCGAGGTTGATTGATTATTTTTTCATGCTCCTAGGTTCACGCAAAGAATCTGCTCCACAAGTTTTGCTTCCAGAAGAAGAGAAAATTATAGTGGAAGAAACTAAAAGTAATGGTCAGACAGTGATAGAAGAAAAGTAAGATGTCTTCCAGTATTCTAAAGCAGGCATTTGAGCTCTGCAGTGGGGTAGTAGAGTTCAGACAGCTCCCTGAGGGCGGGGGTGTGGCTTCGGAAGCTTCACTTTTTTTTTTTTTTTTTTTGAGACGGAGTGTCACTCTTGTCACCCAGGCTGGAGTGCAATGGTGCGATCTCAGCTCACTGCAACCTCTGCCTCCCAGGTTCAAGCGATTCTCCTGCCTCAGCCTCCCAAGTAGCTGGGATTACAGGCCTGCGCCACCATGCCTAATTTTTGTATTTTTAGTCGAGACGAGGTTTCACCCTGTTGGCCAGGCTGGTCTCCAACTCCTGACCTCAGGTGATCTGCCCACCTCGGCCTCCAACTCCTGACCTCAGGTGATCTGCCCACCTCGGCCTCCCAAAGTGCTGGGATTACAGGTGTGAGCCACCGTGCCCAGCCAGAAGCTTCACTTTTAAAATGTCTTCATAGACTGAAGCTGCCCTTGACGGGGCTTGAACCTGCCGTGCACAGAGGTTGACAGTTTTTAGTTGTGAATGTAGACAGTACACGGGTACGGCAGAGCAGCCCCGTGTCCTCCACTCAGCATCGTAGTGTCTCCTGGTAAGTTTCCGTGTGTCCTCTCCATGCCTCACCCTGTTCATGTGTGTGTTCTGTTTCCTGTTTCAGGAGTCTTGTGGATACCGTATATGCATTAAAGGATGAAGTTCAAGAATTAAGACAGGTATGTCATAATCCATCTTTCAATCTTTTTTTTTTTTTTTCAAATGGGAGAAAAGAAAACAATATTAAAAATAAGCTGGCCGGGTGTGGTGGCTCACACCTGTAATCCCAGCACTTTAGGAGGCCATGGTGGGCAGATCACCTGAGGTCAGGAGTTCAAGACCAACCTCACCAATGTGGCAAAAGCCCATATCTACTGAAAATACGAAAATTAGCCGGGCATGGCAGCAGGTGCGTGTAACCCCAGCTACTTGGAAGGCTAAGGCAGGAGAATCGCTTGTACTTGGAAGGCTAAGGCAGGAGAATCGCTTGAACTCAGGAGGGGGAGGTTGCAGTGAGCTGAGATAGTGCCACTGCACTCCAGCCTGAGCGACAGAGTGAGACTCCGTCTCATATAAAAATAAAAAGCTTATTGTGCATAAGCAAAAACTAAAACGAGGTCATGTCTTTGAGAAGTCCAGCAGATAAAACAGTTGGTTGTCTATAAAGTGACTTGTTTAAATTCTTTTTTTTTTTGAACAATACTGATTTTGATGTCATAAACCATCGCAAATTCTGTTGGAAGAATAATTTAAAATATCGAAAGTTCTGTCTGGTGACAAATCCTGCAAGGGGCCCTGAGATTAGCCTCTGCCACTGCATGGTCCTTGGCTCCCGAAGCCAGTTTAGCGAGCCAGACATGGTGACTAACCAAGGGTGTTCTGGGCAGTGCACAGAATGTCAGTATGAGTGGCTTTGGTCCCCTGCCCAGCTAGGTGAGGGAAGGTTGGGGTGTTCGTTGCATAGAATGTGAGTATGAGTGGCTTTGGTGCCCTGCCCAGCTAGGTGAGGGAAGGCTGGGGTGTCTGTTGCATAGAATGTGAGTATGAGTG